CCCCTCTCTGCTTGGTGACCTTTCTCAGACTTCCACAGTTTCGCCATGGGTATTCGTCCACAGGAGCTCTCGGTCGGCGAGCCATCGTCGAACTCCTCCGCCATCGACAACACCGCCAACAAATAAACATGGTTCAAGTGAACAGAAGCATGGAGTGACGAAATAATGTATTGTGCCACAAATAGCAATGCTGTCAAGTATTACAAACAGAAAAGAGCATATGTGGAAACCATGGAAGATCTAGAGCTAATAGGAGACAAAGGGGAATGCCACTGATCGGAAGTGACAGGAGAAGACCCTGGGACATACTGACCATGAGGTGATGCGATGGAAGCCCAAACGAAAGAGCTTGAATTACGAAAATGGGGTTACTGTAGGCGCAGTTTCTCGCGCCTCATTTATGCATTTCACAACACGGTCGACAGCAGTTGCAACTAGAGCGCAGTTCCCTATCGACGCGCCGTTAGCCCGTACCCACCGCACTTCTGGGCTCGTGCATAAGTCACGACTCAGAGGGGAAGGGAATTGACGGTGGGCGAGCCACTCCACACACTACATATTTCACAAATAACAAGTGATACGCAGTCTAAAGCTGTCTCTGCTCTTTGAATTGCAAGCTGCTATAGCACTTACACGAATCTTGGAAATACCTGCCGCCCCAAGGCAGATTGCTCCTTTCCGGGAAAGTTTTCTGTACTTTTTCGCTCAGCTCTCAAGAACTAGTTCTTCTTAATCGGTTCATTTCAGTTCCATCACCCTATGCATATGATAAGCCGATATCGAGAATTCGCATTCTTGATGCGAGCAGTTTTAATGACAGGTCGCTTTGCTGCGATCCATAATAAGAATGTTCAGCACCAGCGAATGTTCCTGGTCAACTATCGCGATCCTTTTTGCATAATGAAATATCTTCAGCAGTTCTTTTGAACTTGTTCCTGTACTGTTCGATACTTCACAACTCCTGATCACTTACAATCAAAGATCTGAACCATTTCAAATCAAATGTTCTGTTAAATAAACATACTTTGACGTAAATCATTCACTTTCACTACTCATGAATGTGAATTTTTTATTTCTAACTGGAGGCATTCTTCATGCTTGAGGACACTTTCGCGATAGTAGTTAGTAAGCAGTACGATCAAAAGGGAATGAATGGGTGCGAACTGACTCACTAGTAAAAAAGGGAGCGGAAAGAGCCCTTAAAAACGGCCTGATCATGGTGTCCCACTCTGCAGATGTTTTCGAGGAGAAGACCCATGCCAAAAATCGAGAAGCGAAGACACTGAGCGCTTGAGCGAAGGAGCATTGAAGGCTCAGAAGCGAAACGATTGAGAGACTGGTGCAGCTTTGTCCGCTGCGGGCACGGGCGTTCTTGGGGGTGGGCGGTTTGTATGTCCGGCGCAACTTGTTCTCCCACCGATTAAAGGAGCCGTTGGAGGCATACGGCAGGTTGGTGGTGGCGCAGCCTCGCCCATCCCCACCCCTCGCATCACCGTCTGCAACGGGTACTGTAAACCCAACCTATTGGAAGCGGATCTAGTGCGCACGTCTTGAGCGGTCTGAGACAAGGCATCTAAATTCCTGCCACAGGGACGTCGCGCCAGTCCAAAAGTTAGGTAGTGTGTACGACATGCAAAATGTCTTATATCAAAAAAATAGTATCAATATCTGGGAGTGTAATAGCTATATGAACATCCAATCACCCATGCAATCACAATGCAATCAAAATGGAAAACACGGGCGCAAATAGAGTCGGCAAATGATTGATCTTGACCTCTGCCTTAATGATACAACTTGGCCCCATTTTGTTTTGCCTGCCAGTGCACAGTAAAACGACAACTGTTGGGTAAAGACTACTCATGTGGAACCGGGTAGGTCCTTAACTGCGGGAAGAGGCCAAGTCTTACCTGTTTGCCGTACAGAGAACGGATATTGTGTAATAAACGGCGTATCATTTCAAAGCTTAAGATGTCCTCAAGACTGGTGACCGTATCAAAACAATGAAGAGACACATCGCTAAAGCTCACCCACCCGCACCCCCCCCCGATTACCTTGCCCAGAAGACTTTCTTGCTACTAGTTCAAACGTTTATTGATAACACAGTGACAGCAAGTCCTAGGGTGGCGACCACGTCCAAGTTGTAGAAAGCAAAGAATGTCAAGCGCTGAGCGGCTCGGAGTGTGTAGTACTTTGGGCATTCGCCCGTGCTAACTTCAAGATATGACTGAGAGATGAGTATGGTCGAAGATTGTTGGTTTTCCAGTCACATCATGGAGAGTTTCGAGGGGCGCTATTGGTAAAAGCTTAAGAAAATACAAATTCAAATCAATGTAACTTAAAAGAACTCAACATACTTCTCATTCTCAAGCACATCAGCGATAGCTTCGTGGACAATTTCTGGAGTGAGTCTGAGTTTGTCCAGTACCCTGGCTATTCCAAATCGTTGTGCTCGCATCGCATTGATCTTCTGATCAGCAAATAGTGGCATCAACACTGTGCACCGGACCGGCATAAGTACCAAGTAAAGGACAAAGGTTTCGCCCATTGATCAGTCCGCTTTGTGGCATGGCGCACGGCATTCTACGTTCTATTCGATATCGGCAGTAGTATTATTGTAATGCGATGTGGCCTAATAAGAATGACTTGCGGGGTCAGCCGAGTACAGAGTCAGTGTTTATCCTCCCAGAAGAATCTACTAGATCGAATTTATGCCCGCCAGAAGGCTTGCTGGTCCTAGCGGGAGTCGACCGCTGAATTTTGAAACCGAACACCGGCGAGTGGTTAGCCGGCGATACTCGTCACTACACCACTGTGCCTAAAGAACTAACACAGTACAAACACCAGCAAACGCACAGACAAAGTATCCAAAGGATTCACGTTAAAATAGAACTAACATACACTCATTCCTGTGCAGTCCATTGCGCCACCGTGTGGGGTCAACTATAACACTACACTCATCCGCGTATTCCTTGTGTAGCGTCAATAGGGCGCCGAACTGACTACGCGTCTTCTTATCCGTTCTATAATGCCAGAAAAGTAGTGGTGCGGGAGGGTGAAGGATACTGGAGTTATCGTCTAACAATACGTAACCGCCCGCCGCTGCCGCAAGGCCAGCCACTCGTAACGCATAGGCTTTCGCTTTACTGTGTACGCGCATCCTCGCTCCGGTTGTTCTTACGCCTGAGTGTGTATTTTCGCCACGGGATCAAATATGCGGCGCAAGTGCTGCAGCGTGGAAGGGTAAGCTGCAAAGTGTAAGACGAACCTCGAGTATCACTACCTGCAGCCATGCTTACATGTCGCCTTTTGAGCGAAGATCTTGGTACGCTACTGCAGCTGCAGGCGCATTCGCCTTGGACATTGCAAGGACCATCTCAGGTGGGTCTACAGCTTGTCTTCAGATGTTCAAATGGATCATACCTGCGCTGTCTCGAGTAAAGAGTTGTATCCGCCATGAGCCAACAATAGTTTCATGTTGGGTAATTCTGAAAAGAAGGACTTAGGCTGATATATACATTATTTCAGACTAATTAGTTTCTATGAAGTTTCATTGGTATCTGACTCACTCATGATCTCCTTTTGCGGTAGCCATTTTAGCAGATGGACATGTTTCAGTGAGCTCGCGTCATCCACCTACAATCTAAAAATTAAAACTAATAAAAAAGCAAAACTTGAAAAGCAAACGAACAAGAAAATAGATGATTGGAATAGGACACTCATATCCTACACTGGAAAAAAGTAAATGGCGTGACAGTGGCGACGAATACTGGAATGCGCCACGCATTCGACTTCATGGGAGCCATGGGAGCGCGAAGTTCCAATTACTTGCAGGGATAGCAACGACTCGATCAGATTTTCATTTCCCAGACTGTTCTCGTTTCACAATAGACTCCGCTATAGTCTAATCCGTAAGTGTGGTAAGGGAATCCCCCACTGAAACACGTCCCCCGACTGCAACCCAACTTCTTATCAAATTTTTTTTGGTCTAACTTGTTATATGAGATATCAAGGTTCCGAGGGAGAGAAGAGCAATTGGCACAAAACGCCTTCAAAAGCATTAGCCCTCCACATTGATCGCATGGGCGGAGTTAGGTCTACGGTCTACCATTGTGCGTTCCTTACTTACGTGTCCTTCTCCTCACCGCCTCGGGAGAAGAGCACACGAATAAGGGAGCCACAATAGTAGGCCGGACTCAACGCTTACTACAGCGGAGACTGCAGATTTAGGTGCCCCTTGGCATCCAAGGATACTGTAAGTCGATGTTTCTGCCATATATCGAATTATTGGTTTCAGGAAGAGCTAGTTACCGATTTTTCTATCACAGTAATCCTTACCTCGCCCTCCATACGCCAGAGGATAGTGTAATCGCTCAACTTGGCAAACGCTCCCACAAATGATCTCTGAATAATAACGGGAAAAGGTCCAAAAGAAAATCAGAAAAACGAAAATAACTTAGGAAAAACCGAATGTGGTAAAGTTAGAAAATCGAATTGAGTTACTGTTCTGTTCGCTGAAGAGAAGATGCTGGGGTGTGTCAGAGGGGGGGGGGGGTTGGTGCTGCCGAACCCGTTCCCTCTGATTGTTCTTCGAGGGAAACTACTGTTACTTGTGCGAAAAGTGCTGCAACCCATCGACCCAGGGCACGCCATTGCGTTGTGATCATTTCCTGAAAAATACGACCCCCTAATTCCATCTTCAAGTACGACCCCCTCCCCATGTTACCTCTTCCCTAGATTTTTTAGATTTTTCCAACCTCCTACCACTTTGTCTATTTTTTCCCAAAAATTTCTGGTTTTTTTTACAAAATTTTGCTGTCGAGCGGGGGGGGGGTCGCAGTACCTACGTACGTCCCAAGCACGTCCAGCACTCTGGCGCTGGTGTAGCATACTGACAATACGTACGAGGAAGGGGCGATGATAGGAGCTACGATCACCGCCCACAAGGGCACCATGAATTTAAACAATGGAAAGGACTTACGACTGACGATGAAACAGACGAATGTACATTCCCGGACTTTTCTGATTGCAGGAGCACATTTGCTTGCAATTGGGAAGCCCTATCTAGAAGTTACACCTTCCAAACACCTGCGTGAAAGCCCCATGCATGGCGCATTGCAGAGGTGATGCCAATTGGCCCAATGGCCTATTTCCTGATACCCTTTGCGAAAACATGTGTTTTAGAAGCATACCAAAGTCTTCAAGCCAACTGGAGGTTTCATGGCCTCGGAGGGGCTGATTTTTCGTGTCGTGGGGGGTGATCACAACGGGGAATTTTTTCGAATAGCAGGCCTAGGAAGAAAATTAAAGCCTTGCTGGAAAGTAGAAATCTTCAAGCTTCCGGCACAATTCTTTTTTTACGAAAGGCCGTGTATGAAGCTTGCCATGGACGTCCAAAGATCACAGCGGATCACAACGATGATCACAACGGGGAAAATCTCTGGAATCGGAACGTTTTTGAAATCGCTCAATTCAGGTGACAAGAGCCAACCTAGCTCTACTCATTCCACTTACCCTCTCCGATAGCTTCACTTTCAACGAAGTTATGGGTGTTCAAATGAGGGGTACTTTTCACGTGTTTGGCTTGAAATTGGCTCCAGGCCGTAAAATAGCGCGCACCAATGAGCTTGTATGAGCGCGCTGACCGCGAACAGCCAAAATTCAAAAGTAATCCATAGTTCCGGTTCCCAGCTGGCCTGGTGAGTTTTTTTTTTCTTATCCATTTGATTGTGAATTATTTTGATTGTTTGTTTTTGTTGAGTTTGATTTTGTTTTGTTGAGTTTGATTTTGTTGTGAGGAAATTGCTCAGGATTCAATTTCTACGGTTTCATAGGTAGCTTTTGCAATGGATTCTTTTCTAGATTTTGCGGATTAGTGGATTGGGATTTATCTAGACCAGATGAGGAGGGTTGGTGGGCGAAGTGTCTTGAAGTTTTTTGTGAGGAAGGAGGAAAAAGTTTCAGCAATATTTTTTTTAGTTCTTGGCCTAGGAATAGTTCGATAGTGCCTAGTTCTATTTATTGTCATCTACATCGTCCCTTTTGAGCTTCTTTTCACTTGTACCGTGTATCACCGCTCTCTCCACTAACATGGGCCATGCGTTTACGACCCCCCCTCCATCGCGGGCAAATACGACCCCCCTCCCCGTTGTGATGATCACAAAGATGGCGTGCCCTGCATCGAACCCAGCTTACGTGGCACGTCCAAGCATCCGCAGCGAATAAGACGATAAGAATAATTTCAAAAAAATATAAACTGAAAGAACTTCATGGTGTGCTCCCTTGAAGGAAAAAAGAAAGGAATCAAGGATGAATACAAAAATAAAGGAATAATAAACAGAAGAAAATAAAAACAAAACGACAATTTCACAATCATCTGCCGAGGCATATGTCGTGTTTTGAGACGGTGCCAAGAGAGAACACGATCAAGCCCTTGGAGGGTTTCTGAAGAATCGCACGGAGATCGTCGTCAAATTCCACCTTTTTTGCTGCTATAAAAAAATCACTTCATTTCAAATTGGATATGTACAATAAATGATCCGTTCCGCTGCGGAACCCTATCCCACTGAACCAGGATCGTAAAAGGTAGTCGTTTAGGCGAGACAGGCAAGCATAGCCCCCCAGAGCGATGCATCTCTTGAAAAGTAGAAAGCTAGCGGATCAGACAGAGGGGCACTGATTGTTTGCAGGCCCGTGGACCTATACGATCAATGTGGAGTGTTCGTATAAGTACATACTATCTTTTCCGCTGTTGAGGCTAAGGCGTGTAAAAAGATTAGTTTGGCGCGGCGCCAGCCCATTCCGACCAATCATTGGAGAGGGCAAGCGACACCAATCCCACTAAAATCCGCCTCCCTGAAATGCTCCCTTCCCCGCGACCCCAGCACTAGGGTGTGCAGCGAATAGGACTGTACATACGTGCTCTGCAGCGGACTCTGGTCTCGAAGTCAAAAGTTAGAGCTACTATGGCGTTTCTTTCCACTGCGCTAAGGAAATATTCTTAAGCAAAGAAATTCTGGTAGTTTCAGTAGATTCAAAATTTACCTACACTTTTTCAGTCCCAACTCTCCAGAGAAGCTTATATGAATTGGAAGCGGCCTTGGAAAGTCCAGCATACGTTCACCGTTGATCAGCAACGCCGGTACGTTCCGTGCTAGATCCCAGAGGTCTGGTTCACCTTCACCGATAACACCTCAAAATAACCATAGGCTTTTCTGAAATATGGTTCAACTTCCCTATGAATTGATCACCTATCACTAACTTCGATAGTATTCGTTTTCGTCATGGAGAAGATTTTGAGGCAGATTGACGAAGTCAAGTAGAGAGAGATGCCAAAGCAGGTTGAAAACTCGATCGATGAACGTCTGAGTGAAGCCGGCTGAAAGACTTTTCACGCCATGTAAACTGTTTTGAATGATTAATGTTTTAGTGAAGCGTGTCTCATGAGAGCATTCTACCATGTATATCGAAACAGATTTCGCACGGGTTACGCATCTCCCAGAGATGGTGGCGCGTAGTTGTGAGGTAGAGTTAGCGGCGACCTTCGCAGTTCGGCTTGGTGGGGGCGTTTTGCTGGTTCTTATCAATCATACCGATGTTTACTATGGAGAGCTGTGAATCCCTGTGAAGCTACGCAATCGTGCCCTTCACTTACATTTGACAAGAGTCCACAGCTGTCACCAAGGTAAGGCGTGCAATTCAACAGGATCTAACAAAAGAGACTGGCAAACGTGCAATGCCCCCATTTAGCCAAACAGCCAAAATGTTCCTAGTCTGGCAATAAACCTGCAGCATTTCGAAAATCACCTAGAAGAAAAGCTACTTACAAGATGACAATGGATGTGGTACACTAGCGGGCAGCGTTCGCAAACCCAGCTGTACCGCAGCGAAGTCGTAAATTGATGTACCATGGGTTATCCAAACGACCTAAACACATCAATCATTAAGGCTATGGATGAGGGAAAAATGCGTTTCAGAAATCTAACAAAAAAGTCAGACAAATACCTTCTCGACGCCAATTTTCCGTGCGATTGCCAAAGGGCAGAGGTCGTGAAAGTGGGCGATGGCTAAATCAAAGTTCTCGTCTCGGAATCTGGCGAAAACCTGTAACGATACAAATCAAGCTTATCATGTAGCTTTTTGCGAAGAGCTATGAAAACTGCAAAGGTAAGCAGATATTCCGGTAAAGAAACGAATAAACAAACAAATAAATACACCATTCTGAAAAAAACCCAAACTGCCGTCATTCAGCTGGAAGAAAGCCTTAATTTCCTTTCATTCTATAAACCAGTAACTTTATGTGTCGGTTTGTATGTTTGTATGTAGGTTTGTATGTATGTTTGTCTGTCCGTCCGCACAATACTTCACGGGTTCAAGTTCGCTGGAGGCGAAAACGACCGCTAGGCAAACCGGTAACCGACTGGGAGGATGTAGCAATCCAATGTTTTGATCGTGATATCGGCCTCCGCTATATAAGACAACCATTCGGTACACTCCGAGCCATTGCACGAGCTGCTGGCGTGGCAGCTGGACGTGTGCTCGTGCGGGGGCAGGGTGGGGTGGGGCCGAGAGGGGGGAGGGGGCACTGGGCGCCCCCCCCCTCTGCTTCCTTCCCCTGCGCGTGCTCAGCCCGATCTGAGCATGCGGGCGAAGACGAAGGAAGCAGACGGGACGGTCCGACTGGAACAGCTGGGGGGCGTTTTTCAAGGTATGGTATAGGTTATGGCACAGGAATATGTGGGTGACAAGAACTGCTAGCCGCTGATAAAGGGAGTTAGAGTGGAAAGGACAACATACTCATAACGCGGTACACAGCATCAGTTAGGCGTTGATTTCAGCAAATGATATCAAGGGGAAGGTGGAGAATGCGACGGCGGGTGACAAGAAATGATAACAGCAGATAGGGCCTGAAAGAGAACGATGCAGTTGTTGTTCAATCAAACGCTGGAGCCTCTACACCACGGAATTATGGAGTTTTAGTGATAGCGACATTGATGGCGAGTGACAAGCAATTTTATCAATTGATAAGTAAAGATAAGGGGACATTTTCACGACATCTCTGACCACTACACTGCCAAAAAGCCTCTCAGTAAGCGAAATTTTCCCACAGCCATCACTCCTCTGATAGCACTAGAAAATGTACTCATCCCACTAGGGGGGTATATACTTCGCCTGAAACAGGAAGTTTGGAGAAATCAAAAACTCCAATATTGGAACACACTTTATGCGTTCAGTGAGTTTAAATATTTTTTTTTGCTTTTCAACTTTAAATCACTGATGAGAACGTATAACGAAGTAGTTTGTAAGATATTCAATGAACGCTGCCTAAATATTGTCATCTGCAGCCATTCATGCAACCTTAGCAGGTGGATTGCATGTTAATGACAAGTTAATCGCCCATCGTTGGTGTTGTGATGCAGGTAATAAAAACGGAATGTGTTCATCTACTGTGCAACATGTATTGATATTCTGTACTTCCTATCTATTTCTGAGATCTACGTATAGAATGGGCGTTATGGCCGAAACCAGCACGCCTTCCGCAACTCTGAGGGGTGCAGATTTCGCTAGGTTACCCGTCTATTATGATTCGACCACTACCACGCAATATGAGCAGCTCATACAATTAACTAATTCAATCCCATTATATGTGCGCCTGGCGCAGCCGGGCCAGCTCGGCGAAGCCGAGCTAAAAAGAAGGATGAGAGCTCGGCGTCAGCCGTGCGATCCCACTGGTTTCATGATAACAACTACCAAGTTAAGCGTAACGCCAGTCGATATCCTTACGGTCTTGCTCTCTGCGAATGCTCGTACACTCAAAGGGAGCTGGGTTCGGCGCAGCGCCAGCCGATTCCCCACCAATTGTTGAAGCGGACCAGCCTAAAAACTGATGGAAAATGGCCTGGTGCAGCGCCAAACCGAGCCCACCTCTGAAACGCCCCAGCAGCGAAGAAGATGTTACCTTTGGATCGTGTTCAAGCATTTGTGCGCAAGCCTCCACACGCATATCCTTGAACTCTTGTCCTGTCCACCACAAATCGTAAGCGTCACCAGCTGAGAACATCAAAGATTGGAATACCTAAACAAAATTTCTTTCAGCAGCGGAAGGACCACTAGATATCCGTCAGCAGCAAGTGCGACTAGGCAGACATCTATAAGTACTGATTACCCTACGGTTTCGCTATTTGCACCCAATTTCTGCGCTACATCCGTGTGAAAACAACCTTTGTTGCCTATGGTCTGACTTGCAATGACTATTCCTGACAGGATATGAAGAAATCTTCTCCCGAACAGGTAATAGCGAAGCATTATCCCTGGGGTTTTGTAGGGATGTCTAGTGGCTCAACCGTGTATATTCTGGACCCACCTAGTCACCTCGGATGCGCAATGAGAGAAAGAAGTTACAGGATCATCTCCCAAGAAAAGCATCGAGGAGTCATCTTTGATTCAACTATAAGGCGATTTCGAAGCAAAGTCCGTGCAGGTCGTATGGGCAGAAACGGACACCTGTTAGGCTTTCCTCCCTAGTTTTTGCGAGTTTCTCCTTCTGAGACCATGAACGAACGAAGCCAGGGCGTATGATGCAATAATGGGAAGATAGGTTTCTGCTTCTGCCCATACGGTCAGCGGATTGGCCTTCAGAGACTCCCGAGTTCCCATGATGACCAGAGCTGCTCATAAATCTTAAAATAGCCTTGTTAGCATCGTCAAGGGAGACAACTGTTGAATATCTGCAACGAAAACCACCCTAGGAAAGGATGATTGCACCCTGAAATTACAATAGGTCTGAGTAGGTGCCTCCGAAATAATCGTGAACAGTGAACAAAAGAGATTTTGGCACTAACTATCCAGTGGGGGGAGCAGTACGGTTGTCTTTGAGTTGCCTAATCTATAGTGTAGTTCGCTGCGGACGGTGGGGCGTGTCAGGCAGGATGAGTTTGGCGCGGTGCCAAACCCGTTCTCCACCAGCTGTTAAAGCGAGCAAGTGACAAGACTGTATCATGTCGTTCGTATCACTCGTTTCCCAACAACTGTTGTCGCGTAACTGCTTCAACAACTGGCAGAGAACGGGTTTTTCACCGTGGCACACTCATACTGCCTGACACGCCCCACCGTCCACAGCGAACTACAACGCTATAGATAATTTCATCTGCACTTTCATGGAAAAATCTTAACTCCTTAGAGGTACCTTGAGACCTTCGGTCTTCAGCTTGTCTTTGAACTCAATAGGAATTCGATATTCGGTCACACCAGGTGGCAATCGATTATTTCCCGTATCCAGCATTGCCATTTCCATTTGTGTCCACATATGTACATCGTGGCCAAGAAATCTAATCAACACATAAGGTGGTCAAAAAACGAATTACAAAAATGCGAGTCCAGATGAAGATTAAGAAAAATAGACCAAAAACATATCCTACGTTGGACTTTGGAGGGATCTCGAGTGATCATCAAGTTTATATAGTCGCCATCAGTGGGAGCGGTCTCAACAGGAGTGGGATTAGGCCACCCGCGGAGTTTTCGACACTGGTAAATCTCTTGCTCAATCGATCAGTAATTGATCACCATTTGTAGAGCAGGGCGGCCGTAGGCATGCTCAGTCCGCTCTCCTGACACCGCCCGACAGATGGCGACGTTAACAACTACATATATCGGGCCAAGCCGACCACGGAATCACCGTAGACCTTTGTTTTGACAAAAAGCATGGAGGAGCGAGCGCTCAGCGCTTGTCAAACTTCTTTTTATGCGCCACGCATTCTACTCCCACTCTCAGCAACGTAGTCTTATCTTTAGTGCGATTGTCGTTCTTGTGGGAAACACCCAACCGTCAGAATTTTTCATCATTAGGCACGATCTAGTACCAGTGACCGACCTCAAGATTTGGTTGCCCCAAACGTGAGTAGATCCG